TCAGCAGGGCTTACTCACAGGAAAGCATCCTTAGGATTATGCTGAAAGACGCTTAACCAGTCAAGAGACCAAGACAATCAGCAGGGAAGCAGTAACAGGTGAGGGCCAGACCATTAGAGGTACCACCATACTAGTCAGCATTCACTTAAACCAAAAGCTGCTTGAAGCAAACTTGGATTAATCAGCCTTCAAAGTGCCGTGCACTGATATTCCATGATTGGTGGTGCTGGTGTGTGATTTTACTTGGGGGAGGAGATCTGGATTAGAGCCGCCCCACTGGGGAAAGGGGGGGTTGCTCTTTACTTCTCCGTGGTCCCCCTGTCTGAAATCTCCCTTCCCTACTTGCTTTAGACTCCAGTAGGAGAAAAACAGATGGGTACCCATAGGCCCGTTCACACAGTAAAATCCAGTTGAAACGTGGATTGAAAGTGGATTATTTAGCGTGTGTGACCACAGCCATATCGTGCCTGCCTTTTTCCCAGCTGACAAAGAAACACTGTGATAAAATTGACAATATTTAATGATTCTTATGAACATCAATTTGTGTCTCTATTAAGACTTTTACAATACTGCTTAGGAAGTTCCGACATTTTCAAGGGGAAGTCCAACATCATCATATTCCCTTGAAAATGTCAGAACTTCCTAAGCAATATTGTAAAAGTCTTAATAGAGACAAAAATTGATGTTCATAAGAATCATTAAATATTGTCAATTTTATCACAGTGTTTCTTTGTTTGATAGTATGGACCTGTAACTGTGATCCCTTCTTTGGTTTTTTTCCCCAACTGAGGCTTAAAGCAGCCAGAGGGGAGGGTGCCATTTGTGAACAGGGAAGTAGTGCAGAAGGAAAAGAATGAACACCCCTCTTTTCCCCAATCCAGATTCTCCCTCCCAGGCTGCTTTTTAGGACCAATGTGACCCCTCTGGTTTACCAGTCACAGAACTCTAGTATTGCATCTAGTTTGGCCATAAAAGTTTAAAAGGGTGAAGGAAAAATACTTTGTGGGGGAGGGAGTTCTGCGGTCTTGGTGCCATCACTAAGAAGGCCCAGCCACACATAACCACCTGTCGAATCGCTTGACAGTAGGGAAATGTGGAGCCGGCCCTCTCCAGGTTACCAAAATGTATGGGTAGATTCACATTTGGGAAGGTGGACCTTGTGTGGACTCAATGCAAATAATTCTCAGCTTCCGAGTGAAGCAAGGGGCAATGATAAAGTATTAATAACAGTAGGTAGTAATAATCTCAGGACTATGGTATTCCCTATCGAGATCTCGCAAGGTCTTCTTGTAGAAATCCTAGTACAGAAGCTCCAAGAACTATATATTTCATTTGCAGCAGTAGCTGCCAAGAAGACAAAGTGGTTCAACTGCCGTTTAACAAGACATGAAAAGAAGTTTAATCTCATGGTGTAGTTGACTTTCAGAGCACACACCGCTGTTGTCACATAGAGCTGCCGAGGATCCTACCTTGACTTTCAAACAAACCCCCATACTTCTGCTGTTCTTGTTTTTTAACTGATAAGTACAGTAGTAAAAACAGCTGTTCTGAATGCTAAACTAACTGCAACAGTTTAAAAAATATATACTTGGGGCTTAAGGCAATGTTTGATTGGGGCAAATGTTGTGCTTCATGTTAGACCGATTTCACACAAGAGCTGGGCCCCGGTCACGCCTCCCTTTGCCCTGCTTCTATTGGTCGATTTCCCACTTGAAGCCACGCAGCTGCATTTTGACCCGCGGCTCCCCCCGATTTTTCCCACCCTTTTGTGATCCCGTTTTTTTAGGATCGTGATCCTGTTTTTTGAGGATCACGAAGCCGCGGGTCAAAACGCGGCCACACAGCTTCAAGTGGGAAATTGACCAATAGAAGTGGGGCAAAGGGAGGCGTGACCGCGGCGCAGCTCTTGTGCGAAATCGGTCTTACAGTCTTCCAAGCCAACGACATTTCTGTGTGTTGCATGAGAGTCGGCTGCTAAAACATGCTAACTCCAAAGTCAATTCCAGTTACTTCAATGGGGTATTTAGGATTATGGGCTTCATCAAAAATTGAACTGAGGTGTATTTTTAGCATGGTGGCTAAGAGAAAACACTGTGATCAAACTTACAGCTCACCTGTTACTAGGTGGCCAAACTTTACTAGGTGGCCAGATGCTAGCCAGTCTTGAGAGTGGCCTGACAGACCTGTGTTTTTTTCTGCCCCACAGCTTTCCAAGTGTCCTTTTGGTCCAGAGATTTCAGCTCCATCCAGGGGTGGATCATTCCTGAGAAACCGGGGAACCAAATAGAGAGGCAACCCATAATGCATGCCTTGTTTTCCAGATGTTTTCTTATAGGTCTTACAGACTCTTTAATGCCCAGATACCAGCTTGCTTCCTGAAGGTAGCAGCAGTTACCTTTATCCTGTTTGACTACATGTGTGTCCATCTCTCTAATACTGCACTTCAATTTTATGCATCGTTTAATGAAAACTACATTTTTCTCTTGTATGTTGCCCCCCCCCAGCTGACAGCTCGCATTCTGGAAGCCCACCAAAACATCTCCCGCCTGTCCCTGATGGAAACCAAACTTCGGTTTATCCAGGTGTGGCAGTCGCTTCCTGAGTTTGGATTGACGTACTACATTGTAAGGTAAACGTGGTAGCCTTATGACAAGTGGTTTTTCAGAACCTTTTCACTGTTTTCATTTTGACCAAAAGAGATGAGCTGCCAAGAAGATTGATTTAGATGCTTTTGAGCCAAGCTTGCAGTTTTTGCAACAAGATTCCTGGCAGTTCTGACCAAAGCACTTTTCCAAAATGTTCCACTCCGTCTATGTGCCTCTTTTTCTACTAGAATAACCTGTGGCAGAGTTTCCTCCTGACACACATGAAGCTGTGTTACCACTGAATCATACCACTGAATTCTGCCAAGGACAGCTTTGCCTCCTCAGACTGGCCGTGGCTCTCCAGGGTCTCAGGCAGGGAAAGCTTTTTCACATCACCAACCTGCCTGGTCCTTTTAATAGAGATGCTGGGGATTGAACCTGAGACCTTCTGTGTGCCAAGCAGATCAGAACATAAGAGAAGTCAATGTTGGATCAGGCCAATGGCCCATACACTCCAACACTCTGT